TTTTTATTAAGTAACTAAAGTAGAAATTTAAATAATTAATTAGCCTAGTAATATAAAAAGCTAATATAAGCTATTTTATATATAATTACTCTTATTATTTTATATAAATCTTAAATATTACTTTATTTATATATGTAATATAAAGATATTAATTATTATTTATTTTAAATTAATAATTAAAGCAGAAATTTACGTTATAATATAATTTAATAAGTTTATAAACTTATAATCTTTTTATAATATACTACTAATAATATTACTTCTATAAATATAAAACTTTACCTTTTTATATAAGCTATATTATAATATTAACTTATTAATTTATTTATTAATATATATTATACTAATACTTAACTTATAATTTCTAGTATTAATTATTATAAATATAAAGCTTTAAAATTATAAAAAAAAGTAAAGAAATACAAGTAAATAGCCGGCTAATTAGCCGCAAATATCAGAGTTTACATGTAATAACAGTAGTAGCTTGATAACTGACGCGACGAGCTGGTTGGAGTTGACACGGATCGCATTCGAGGACTCGACACAAACCAAGTGCTTTGTGTTGTTGCGGGATAACAGGTTTCCTGCCTCCAAGTACATGGCGCGACTGATTCTCTAAGATCTCGTGGAAAGCCGAGGACCTTGATACAGCTTCGCGTAATATAACTAGGGGCTTTATTGTTCCTGAACAACTCGAATCCTTAAGACTCCTGTTCACGCTACTTCTAGTGTCCTTCCGGCGAGGTTTTTTGAATACCACTATAATGGGACCCGCCCGATCGGTATTGTCTTTAGCAGCCTTGATCTGGCCGTGTGCGTACTTTGCCTGAAGCTTCTCTAGTCCAAGAATCTGCTCTGTAGTAGACAAAGCCTATACCCAAGGGCGTATAAGGAAGTCCAAGTACATCTTTTAGAGTAGCAGGTTGCAGCGGCAGGAGTCTACTCGTAAACAGAGGTAAATCCGCCTGGGCTGGGTGCTCCCGCCAAGTAAAACTTTCCTTTCTGCCGGGAACATATTAGCAGCCCGTGATGTAAGACCTGCTCAAGGCGTCGTTCAAGTGTATTGGAACTTGTTTGGCCGTCTTTACAGCCTCTCTTTGCGTTGAAGATGCTTCTAGTGCTTCTTTCTGCACAGCTTCTTTTTTGGGACATTATGGTAATAGCGGTAGTGCTGCAAAATAGCGACGGCTTCAAGTATATTATCGACGAGTACCCCTGGGAGATACTGCCGCACGATAACACTATAAAGGTGGCCGTCCAGGCCTTGTTCCACCTTGTGGCACGTCTCGTCTGTCCGAGGGTATCCAGAAAGGCGTCGTTCATCCCGGTCTTCAGTATCATTCCCGTTATTGCCTCACTTAAACTCGGTTTGCATGGCTGCTTAGGCACTAATGCTATCCAGCGCGACTACCTGACCCTTCATTTGTAGTGGCAAAGTAGACGCTGCTGTTTATATACTTGAAGCAATTTATATCCTAGGCTGTAGTTGTCAATTATTTTGGGTATCTACCTACTTTGCTTTTTAGATTTACAAGGCAGCCCTTGTCTATAAAGCCTCTCGAGTTGGCCTGTTATCGCCAAATGCAAAATTACAACCCTATCATGGTGTTTACTATAGACGGTAAAGTATAAATTTTTATATAGCGCGTACCTCAAAGCTTTCTCGTATATAAGAACTCTCTGTATATAGATTATAGTTGATTTCCTTATAGAATTTTATTTTTATAATAATACCTAGCCTTAGTACTTTATAATATTATAATAGCTATTTTGTATTATTATAAAAGTATAAATTTTAATATTACGTGTTCTTTATAATTTACTAATATATAAATACTTTTTATAAATATAGTTTAGTTATTATTAACTAAAGGATTCTTATAATAAAATTAAACCTAGTTATTTTACTTAAAAATAATATAATAGCTATTTTTTGCTGTTAAAAAAAGTATAAATTTTAATATTATATGTTATTTATAATTTAATAGCATATAAATACTTTTTATAAATATATTTTAGTTATTATTAACTAAAAACTTCTTTTAGTAAAATTAAACCTACTTATTTTACTTAAAAATAATATAATACCTATTTTCTAC